GGATGACCTTTTATTACATCTATTGAGACAAAGGTAGTAATTATACTCTTTGCTCTGTTAATATGTGATTTACATAGATAGATATTCAAATGTTAAACCTACTCTCCCTTTTTGGGATTAACCCTATTTCGTCATTATTTAAGTAAATATTGCTGGTGTGTACTACAAATATTTTGTTATGAGTGATATTGCTGTTCATTTTCTTTTCTTGTAATATCCATTTTAAGTGTTGGTGTCAGAATTATTCATCAGGATTATTCTGGCTTCAAAAAATAAATTTGGAAGCTTTTTTTTTTCCCTCCTCTATTTTCTGTAAATACTTGTTTATTTTTTCCTAAATGTTTAATAGAATTCACCAATAAAACATCTGGACTGGAAGTATTTCTGTGGAAAGGTTTTTATTTACATATTCATTTTCTTTAACAGATATAAGATTGTTAGAATTTTTCTGTTTCTTCTTGTATAAATTTAGTTAATTTGGGTCTTTTAATAAATAAACATTACTGGTAAATTGTCAAATTTGGCATACCTTTTAAGCAATAATTTCTCGTTTTTTAACTTTGTGGCATACATGTGTTTCCTCTTTCATTTGTTATGTTGATAAATTGTGCTGCTTCTTTTTTTAAATTTCAAGCCAGAGGGTCTATACATTTTATTACCCTTTCAAAGAACCAAATTAATTAATTTTTTTCTATTAATTGTCTGCTTTATTTAATTCTTCCTTCAACTTTGTGTTAATTTGCTTTTTTCCACATTCATAAGATGAAAATTTATATAACTGATCTTAATCATATTTATTTTCTAATATAAGCATTCTAAGACTTTCAGTTTTACTCTAATTACTTCTTTAGCTGCATCCTACAAAATTTGAAATATTGTGTATTCATTATCACTTATTTTGAGTTATTTTAAAATTTTCATTGTGTTTATTTTCGTTGAACCATTAATCTTGATTTACAATTAAATGATATCTTTTTATTATTAACATCTAATTAAAAATATTTTTTCTTCTTTATTGATTTTAGAGAGAGAGGAAGGGAGAGGAGAGAGAGAGAGACAGAACATCGATTGGCCGCCTCCTGCATCCCCCCCACTGGGGATTTGGCTCACAACCTGGGCATGTGCCCTGACCGGGAATTGAACTGGCAACTTCTTGGTGCATGGGTCCACGATCAACCACTGAGCCACACCAGCCAGGCTATTAACATCTAATTTAAATTTCTTGTGGTTAGAGAGCATATTGTGGAATGAATTTAATTCTTTGACATTTATTATTATTATTTTTAAAAGCCCAGTTTCATGAGCACTTTAAAAAAACGTGTGTTTTGCATTCTTTAATTGTAGCATTCTATAAATTTCAATTAGGATAATTTGGTCAAATTGTTTTTTAATCTGTCATATTTTTGTATCTACTTGTTCTATCAATTACTAAAATTGCAATATTAACATTTCTAACCACAGTGTGTATTTTTTTGTTTCTCTCTTTGGTTTCAGTTATTACTTTATGTTTTTAAGCCTCTGTTATTAGGTACATAGTGATTTAGAATTGATATGTACTGTTGATGAATGACCTTTTATTATTATGAATATTTCTCTTTGTATTGAACTGGACTATCTTAAAAAATCAAACTCCATTCTGATCAGTTATTCCTGCACGTAAACACCGGAGCAGTCTTCTAAAAAACCTGGGACTGACACCCAGAGGAACCATAAAGATAAAGGGTTAATGATGGCCTTGGGAAACTTGAAGGGACCATAAAAAACAAAGAGATTAATGATTGCCCTAACCCCTGCAACCCACCGCCCTTCTCTGGAGAAGTCTGCATCAGCCCCCATGCCAATTAAGTGGAGCCAGGAGGAATGTAAGTTTTTTCTTTGAATGTAGCTCTTTCTGTTTTTGGGTTTTTTTTAATGTAGTTTTTTTCTGTATTTTGTTCCTATATAAGCAAAGAACAAAGGAAGCTCAGGGCTGGGATTTGGGAGATCCCCCCAGCCCGCGGGTGTAATAAAGTGCTGCTTTACAGTTCGGCTGTGCGTCTCTGGCTATCTCGCTGACACGTTACAACAGGATTTGACAATATTCCTTTTCTCGTAGTCTACATTGTGTGATATATAGCTGCAGCAGCATTTTTTTTTTTTTTCCTGGGTGGGGAGAACACAGTGTTTTTATTACTTTTCAAAGCTTTGAAAGAGAATTATAACCACAAACACAGGGTTAGCAATAATCCCTGTGGGCTTTCTGTTCCTCTTCTATTTTTTCTCAGCAATATCAGAAACTCATACAGTTTCACACGATTTTCTTTGTGTACACTATAAAATTGGTACTAATTTAAAAATTCAAAATTACTTTCCTTCTTAGGTTTTTACTTCAAACTATTGTGTCATAGTTTTGGAGAGAGAGAGGACAACCAGATGAAGGAGAAAAAAGCAAAACTCCACTCATTCTATAAATATACCGTATTCCTGATTAAGGGTGCCGGCTTCACACAGACAAATTTATACCCTTCACCGCACCTCCAACACACGGAGTAGTGCAGCCACCTCCATACCGGGGGCTCCTTCCCACTTCGCCCTCATTTCACCACGCACAGGCCGAGCCTTGGGCAAGGGGCCTTGGCGGCAGATAGAATCAGAACCTGGAGCACTCACGTTCTGTTTCCCGCACGTGGGGCTCTGCACGGGTATGGTCACAGGGCCCGGGTGCGGGGAAGTGCAAGGTGTTATAACCCAGTAATTCTCCATCTGCTAAAAGAAGGAACCTCTCCTGGGTTCCTTGAACCCGAGTTGTTTTTGCAAAAATTCTTGAAGAGGAAGGTATGCATCAGCCATGACCACAGGGGTATTGACCATGAGCTTAACTAATCAGGAGATGCCAGACAGGGCGATGAGACATTCAAGGTTAGGGTCTAGTAAATGTTAAGAAATATAAAACAAACAACTTGTGCAGTTACTAACTGCTGATATCTGCTTCTGTACACGTAGCTTGCTTGCTCTGCTAAACTCTTGAGTAACCCCTGTCCTATAGAAGCAACCCAACCCCTGAGCTCGGGGCTGCAGTTCTCCTCTGTGTAGGTTGGCTGCAGTCCCTGCGCAGGTAATAAAGCTCCTAATATTCAAAATTACTTGATGTCTGAGTGAGGATGACTCTCCTGGGTTACAACACAAGGAACTACAAGAATGATTCTCCAGCTCAACCCTAAGAGTGTCATTCCTCGAATCCACCACCCAGGCCCAACACGTGGGCTTCCGCGTCGTCTTCCGCCTTCCGGAGGGTCGGACACCTGGCTTCCAGGGATCCAGCATTTACACACCTGTGAGAGGCGTGGCCGTCCTGCCGGCCCCGCCCCTCCCCCAACACAGTGGCGCCTGGGCCGAGTGGACTCAGGCCCCAGACACCGGTGCGAACGTCTGCTGAGCCCGGGGTCGTGGAGTGTGGTGCTGGCGGCCCAGAACTGAGCAGGCGAGGGTGGACTTTCCCGGAGGGATGGACTCTGGGCGCGTTTCAATATCTTTGCAGCTGGCACGAGACCCCAGTGTCACGGGTGAAATATCCGTTGATACCTTCCATGTTTTGCTGGGACGACCCGTGCTGGACCCAGAGCCCTAGTGGCCCAGCAGGTCAAACGACTTGACGACAGATCGCCCGCGCCAGGCAGGACGCCGGGGCCGTCCCATCACATCAGCCCGAGAGCCTCACGGACTACCAGTTGTCGGCTCGCCCCGACCTCGAGAGCACGCCGGGGCGTGGGTCTTGCTCACCGCTCCCGTCATGCTCCGCGGGCCCAGCACGAAGCACTGAGAAGTCACCCCGCCCGCTTCGAGTCCCACCACGGCTCCTTACCCAAGGTGCCTCGGAAGCTCATTTGCATATCTCAGACGACAAGTAAACCTGGCAACTCAATCACAGTCTGCGATCATAGTAACTAAAGTGCGAAAGTCCTCTGGTGATCCTGTTGCATAAATTCCTCTAATCATTATGAAGTCTCCGTGAAAGCACTCAATTTAGTCACCATAACTATGAAAGTAGCACAGTGGTTGTGACTTATATATGCTGTGGGAGGAGCTTGAGTCGTGCTCGCTTCGGCAGCACATATACTAAAATTGGAACGATACAGAGAAGATTAGCATGGCCCCTGCGCAAGGATGACACGCAAATTCGTGAAGCGTTCCATATTTTGTTCCGTGCAGAATTGCACCTAATCTTTTCTTGTGTGAACAGTTATTATACAACAGCTTTCTGCTATCTCCATCGCCACCCAGTTCCGTTTCTACCACCATGTGGTCTTGATATCTGATTAAATTGATCAAATGTAATCAATTTGTTTTTGATTCAATTGGTTTGTGCAATGAACTTATTGATCAAATTTCCAATCACAGAATCCGTCCGTTTTAGGCAAGCCAACGTTTCTGAGTGCGCCTCAAAGGCCACATGAAAACAGGCATACAAAACCGGTCTCAGAAATACTTGTAAAAGGAAATCCAAGTGGGCTTGCTCCTTCCAGCCAGTTTTCCACTGAGCCACCTGCCCCCGCCAACAGCCCTCCTACAGCTCGCAGTCTGAGACGGTGTAGGCATTTTGGTCTAACGGCTGAAAAATGTCACAAAGTAGACACAACAAGAAAGCACTAATGTTGCTTACTTCTTTTAGTAAGGATTCATTATTTTAGCAGTAATGTAGTAACCCAGTAATTCAGAAATTACTTGGTAAAAGGTTCACTTGCAATGCATGTGCCATGCAGTCTTCTAGAGAACAATAACGACCTACCTGGGCCTGTGGAGTTTGTGTTGTTGAGGGAGACAAAACCTTAAATAAATCCATTTCAAAACGATTGAGGTTTATGAAGGAAATGAAAGTTCACACATTAACACCAATACCCCAGGCATAATTGCCTCGTTGTGGTTTCACAGATTGCCTTACACGAATATCTTTATAGTGGAAAAAGTCACCATGGTGCTGAGTGTCACACATTATACTTTAACTCGTATTTTTTCCAAGCCCCAGGGAGCTGGAACGCTTCCCGAATTTGCGTGTCATCCTTGGGCAGGGGACACGCTAATCTTCTCTGTATCCTTCCAATTTCAGTATACCTGCTGCCAAAGCCAGCAAGCTGCAAACTCCGCCCACATTATATTTAAGTCACGGTGGGATTCCTCCTCTCTTTTTTTATTACTTTATTTTGTTACAGATGTTTCTCCCCCCCCCCCATTGACACCCTCCTACCATTTCCACCCCCTCCCATTGTTGTCTATTAGTTATGCTTTTCTGCATATGTTGTTTGGTTTATCTCTTCCCTCCCTTGCCCCACTCCTCTGAGGTTTGTCAGTCTGTACTCTACTTCTATGTCTCTTGGTCTATTTTGTTCATCAGCTTATTTTGTTAATTATATTCCACAAATAAGTGAGGTCATGTGGTATTCGTCTTTCTCTGACTGGCTTATTTTGTTTAGCAAAATGCTCTCCAGGTTCCTCCATGTCATCTCAAAGGATAAGAGAGCTTTTTTTTTTCTTTTTTAAAAATTAATTAATTTATTTTTGCTACAGATGTTCCCCCCCCCCCACTGATTTCCCCCTTTCCCCTCCCTCCCTGCCCTGTCCCCAGCTTTGTTGTCCATGTCCATTGTTCATGCATACATGCATATAAGTTCTGTGGTTTATCTCTTCCCCACTACCCCCTCTTCTGGGGATTGTCAGTCTGTACCCCACTTCCACATCCCTGGGACTACCCCATTCCTCAGACTCTTATGTTCATTATATTCTACAAATAAGTGAGATCATATGATACTTGTCTTTCTCTGTTTGGCTTGTTTTGCTTAGGATAATACTTTCCAGGTTCCTCCATGTTGTCTCAAAGGATAAGAGATCTTTCTTTCTTACAGCTGCATAGTACTCCATTGTGTATATGTATAACCGCTTTTTTTTTTTTTAATCCTCACCTGAGGATATATTTTCATTTTTTGATCAGATAGAGTGGGAGGGAGAGAGAGAGAAACATTGATGTGAAAGGGACACATTGAGTGGTTGCCACCCACACAACCCAACCGCACAACCCAACCAGGGCCGGGGACAAACTGCAACCAAAGTACATGCCCTTAGCGGGGACTGAACCCCGGTCTCTCTGAACCACAGGCCGACGCTGTAACTGCTGAGCCAAACCGGCCAGGGCACACCACTTTTTTATCCATTTGTCTACTGATGGATACTTGGGCTGTTTCCAGATCTTAGCTATTGTACATAGTGCTGCTACGAACATGGGGGTACATATATTCTTTCTGATTGGAGTTTCAGGCTTCTTAGGGTATATTCCTAGAAGTGGGATCACTGGGTCAAATGGAAGTTCAATTTTTAATTTTTTGAGGTAACACCATATTGTTTTCCATAGTGGCTGCACCAGTCTGCATTCCCACCAGCAGTGTACTACAGTCCCCTTTTCTCCACACCCTCGCCAACACTTGCTGTTTGATGATTTGTTGATGGTGGCCATTCTGACAGGTGTGAGGTGATACCTCATTGTTGTTTTAATTTGCATCTCTCTGATGATTAGTGATGTTGAGCATTTCTTCATATGTCTCTTGGCCATTTGTATGTCCTGTTTGGAGAGATGTCTATTTAGGTCCTCTGCCCATTTTTAAATTGGATTCATTGTCTTCCTTTGTTGAATTGTAGGAGCACTCTATATATTTTGGAAATTAACCTGTTATCTGATGTATCATTGGCAATTATGCTCTCCTGTACAGTGGGTTCCCTTTCCACTTTATTGGTTGTTTCTTTGGCTGTGTAGAAGTTTTTTAGTTTGATGTAGTCCCACATATTCATTTTTTTCTTTGTTTCTCTTGCCTTAGGTATTGTATCAGGAAAATTCTTTTTTTTTCTCTCTTTTTTTCTGATATTTTGTTCAGATAGAGTGGGGGTGGGGGGAGAGAGAGAGAGAGAGAGAGAGAGAAACATTAACGTGAAAGGGACACATCAAGTGGTTGTCACCTGCACGACCCAACTAGGGCCGGGGACAAACTGCAACCGAGGTACGTGCCCTTAGCGGAACCGAACCCTGGTCTCTCTGGACCACAGGTCGATGCTCTAACTGCTGAGCCAAACTGGCCAGGGCTTGAGTTCATTCTTGTATATGGTGTAAGTTGGTGTCTAGTTTCATTTTTTTGCGTGTAGCTGTCCAATTTTCCCAGCACCATTTATTGAAGAGACTGTCTTTACTCCTTTGCTCTTGCCTCCTTTGTCAAATATTAATTGAGCATAATGTCTTGGGTCAATTTCTGGATTCTCAGATCTTTTCCATTGATGTATATACCTATTCTTGTGCCAGTATCAGGCTGTTTTGATTACAATGGCTTTGTAGTATAACCTGATATCTGGTATTGTGATTCCTCCTACTTTGTTCTTTTTTTTCAAGATTGCGGTGGCTATTTGGTTTTGTTTTGTTTTTTTTTCATCCTCACCCGAGGATATTTTTCCATTTTTTGTACAGACAGAGTGGGAGGGAGAGAGAGGAAGGGAGAGAGAGAGAGAAACATCGACGTGAAGAGACACATCGAGTGGCCGCCACCCGCACGACCAACCAGGGCCGGGGACAAACTGCAACCGAAGTACGTGCCCTTAGCGGGAACCGAACCCGGGTCTCTCCGGACCGCAGGCCGACGCTTTTAACCGCTGAGCCAAACTGGCCAGGGCTGCGGTGGCTATTTGGGATCTTTTTTGGTTCCATATAAACTTTTGGGTATTTTTTCTAGTACTGTGAAGTATGTCATTGGTATTTTGATGGGGATTGCATTGAATCTATAGATTGCTTTGGGTAGTATGGACATTTTAATGATATTAATTCTTCCAATCCATGAACAAGGTATATGCTTCCACTTTTTTATATCTTCCTCTATTTCTTTTTTCAATGTCCTGTAGTTTTCTGTGAACAGGTCCTTTACTTCTTTGGTTCAGTTTATTCCTAGGTATCTTATTTTTTTGTTGTTGCAATGGTAAGTTGAATTTAAAAAAATTTCTCTTTCTGTGTGTTCATTATTGGTGTATAAAAATGCCAATGATTTGTGGATGTTGATTTTGTATCCTGCTACTTTGATGAATTCATTTATTAAATCTAGTAGTTTTTTGATGGAGTCTTTAGGGTTTTTTTATGTACAATATCATGTCATCTGTGAATAATGACAGTTTCACTTCTTCCTTTCCAATTTGGATCCCTTTATTTTTTTCGTCTTGTCTAATTGTTGCGACAGAAACTTCCAGTACTATATTAAATAAGAGTGGTAAAAGTGGACAGCCCTGTCTTGTTCCTGTTCTTAAGGGAAATGTTTTTAGTTTTTGCCCATTGAGTATGATGTTGGTTGTAGGTTTGTCATAAATGGCCTTTATTATGTCAAGATATGATCCCTCTATTTACACTTTGCTGAGAGTTTTTATAAAAAATACTAAATTTTGTCAAATGCTTTTTCAGCATCTTTTGATATGATCACACGATTTTTATCTTTCATGTTGTTTATGTGGTGTATCCCATTTATCGATTTGCAAATATCTTACCAGCCTTGCATCCTTGGGATAAATCCCACTTGATTGTGGTGTATAATTTTTTAAATATATTGCTGGATTCAATTTGCTAACAGTTTGTTGAGAATTTTGACATCTATGTTCATCAGAGATATTGGCCTATAACTTTCTTTCTCTGTAGTGTCTTTATCTGGTTTTGGGATTAGGATTATACTGGCCTCATAAAAAGAATTTAGAAGTCTTCCTTCCTCTTGAATTTTTAGAATAGTTTGAGGAGAGTAGGTGATAGTTCTTTGAATGTTCGGTAAAACTCCCCTGTGTAGCTTTTGTTTGCCTGAACCAGGGCTTTTGTTTGCTGGAATTTTATTGATTACTTCTATTTCTTTGGTTTTGGTCTGTTTAGGTTTTCTGACTCTTTCCAGTTGAGTTTGGAATATTATATGATTCTAAGAATTTGTCTGTTTCGCATAGGTTGTCGAATTTGTTGGCATATAATTGTTCATAGTATTTTCTTAATAGTCCTTTGTATTTCTGTGGTGTTTGTTGTTACTTCACTTCTTTCATTTCTGATTTTATTATTTTGGGTTATCTCTCTTTGTTTCTTGGTGAGTCTGGCTAAAGGCTGATCAATCTTGTTTATCTTTTCAAAGAACCAGCTCTTGGTATCACTGATTTTTTGTATTGTTTCTTTAGTCTCTATGTCATTTATTTCTGCCCTAATTTTTATTATTTCCTTCCTTATATTAACTCTGGGTTTTTCTTTTTGTTCTTTCTAAATCTTTAAGTTGTTGCATTAGATAGTTTATTAGAATTTTTTCTTCTTTTTTGAGGTAGGCCTGTATTGCTATGAACTTTCCTCTTAGGACTGCTTATGTCCCATAGATTTTGTGTTGTTATGTGTTCATTATCATTAGTTTCCAGGAAGTTTTTGATTTCTTTGTTGATCTCATTGGTAACCCATTCATTGTTCAATAACATGCTATTTAGCCTCCATGTGTTAGAATGTTTTTGAATGTTTTTATTGTAATTGATTTCTAGTTTCGTGCCATTGTGATCTGAGAAGATGCTTGATATGATTTCAATTTTCTTGAATTTGTAGAGTCTTAGTTTGTGTCCTAACATGTGGTCTGTCTTTGAGAATGTCCCATGTGCACTTGAGACGAATGTATATTCTGCATCTTTGGGGTGAAATGTTCTGTAAATGAGTTGAATCCAACTGATCTAGTTCATTAATTTAAGGACTCTGTTTCCTTGTTAATTTTTGTCTAGAAGATCTATGCAGTGGTGTTAGTGGGGTGTTAAAGTTACCCACTGTGATTGTATTGCTATTTATCTCTCCTTTGAAGTCCTCCAGAAGTTTTTAAATATATTTTGGTGCTTCTATATTTGGTGTATATATGTTTACCAGGGTTATATACTCTTGTTGGATCGATTCCTTTAATATTAGGTAGTGACCTTCTTTGTCTCTTATTATGGCCGTTGTTTTGAAGTCTTTTTTATGAGGTATAAATATTGCTACACCAACTTTTTTTCATTTCCATTTGCCTGGAAAATTTTTTTTCCATCCCTTCACTTTCATCCTGTGGCAGTCTTTTGTTGTGAGGT